GACGCTGTACATCCAGTAGAAGATGTGGCAACTGCCTCAGCCTTCTACCTACCACATTCCAGACATGTTCAATAGGCAATACGTCTGGTGACCTTGCGGGCCATGGAAGAAGGGTTACATTAGCTTGTTGCAGGAAGTTTCTAGTAACTGCAGCATTGTCTTGTTGAGAAATTTGATCTTGCAGTTGCTGAAGGTAGGGCATCATGACAGGTTGTAATACGTTATTAATATAGGAATGAGCGTTCATATTTTTATCCAAAAAAACTAGAGGTGACCCGCTTCCAACTGCTATGGCACCCCTAGCCATAACGCCCCTAGTTAGCGCAGTCTCACTATCCATGCAAAATTGAAGTTGGTGCCTTTCTCCACTTCTGCGACGGACTCTTCTACGTTGCCCTACCTTCAGCAACTGCAAGATCCAGTTTTTCAACAAGACAATGCTAGTTACTAGCAACTTCCTCCAACAAGCTAATGTAACCCTTCTTTCATGGCTCGCAAGGTCACCAGACTTATCGCCTATTGAACATGTCTGGGATATGATAGGTAGAACACCATCTTTTACTGGATCTACAACGTCTACGTCATGAGATAAGATTAACCTACCAGTACCACAGTCAGATATCGATCATCTGATTCGCAGCATGCCACGAATAGTTACAGAATACCAAAACTTACGTGGAGGCGCAACTGACCATTGAATTAATGAGAATTCCTTTCAATAAATTTGTTTGAAAATTTCATTGATTGCTATTCATATTTATCCTAACTACTTCCCAAAATATTGATAAAATATATTTACATATTTACTGGGTGTTGCAATTTCTATATCACACAGTATACAGGTCTGGCAAGTCGGCATCTTACAGGCGTATTTTAATGCAATAGAATGAAATGTATAGGAAAAGTCTAAGGTTATATAGAGAACGAAAACGATTTCCTCTGTTTCACCTCCAGCATGCAGCACTGGGAATGCTGGAGGTGGAACAGGGGAAATCGTTTCCGTTCTCTATTCAACCTTAGACTTTTTCTGGACATTTCATTCTATTGCATTTAAATTGGCATGTAAAATGTTCACTTGCCAGACCGGTATATTCAGTTGGTCCATTTTAACATGTAAAGTGGCACGCTCTACACAACAAAACATCCAGCGTTCGCCATTTACAAAATTTTGAAAAGCTACAGTTATTTTAGCAGCATCGGAAGAAATTGGTCTGAAGATGAATTTTGAGAAGACAAATGGCGAAGAAAAGAAGAGAGAAGTATTTCCATTATAAATACATATACAGTTCTTCTAACTGAAACTTGGCAAGTTTCAAATTGGATTCTGAAGAATCAAAAGATTACTTGAGAATCAGAGTTTTCAACAAATGTGTTGGACATTTACAAAGAACAATATCAACAAACTACTTATCTCTAATACTCAAAGATCCATGAACCATAAAACTCTACGTCAAAAGGAGAAACATAATAAAAGCGAGAAACCGGTTGGAGGACGCAGCATCAAGTCACACCATGTTCTATTTCAACTTTGCCAGACAGAAAAACCCCAAATGTAAACCAGAACAATGGAGACCATCATGCAGATCATGAGGCACACATTTTATGTGCTGAATAGACGATCTCCTGAAACTTTAACTGCTGGATTATACTGGAGACAAGCTTGAAATAGAATTCGCGGACAAGAATTTGGTGAAACCTATAATAGGCTAAAGAAAAAGAATAATTAACTTTGCATTCCGTTTATCGTCTATATAGGAAATCGTTCTCCCTCACTGTGTCTATGAACGCTTCACCCTTATGCATGTCCACTGAACTCGTCCTGAACAACACTTGTTGCGCTTTCTCGTAACATTAAGTTAGCAAGGTGAGTTTTCTTTGTTGAAATAAAATCAAATACCTTTCTTAAAGGTTTGTAACTAGCCTCGTTACCCTGATGAAGAGAAGTTTCCGCTTGTGTAAATAAAATGACATATAATTTGTATAACTTATGCTTCAATATGCAATGCACTCACTGCAGTTGAATACCCAAATGAAAGAATTTCTGGCATGGTTAAATAATCAGCACTAAATATTGCCTTCTAACCCCTAAATAATATTATAGTTTAATTGAAAAATTTACAATGAAGACACCTCATCTTCTGCTTTCACCTTTGGATTACTTGCTCATTAACTAAACTATGCGGATAGAGTGGCAAATTAGTGTCAAAATTTCAAGTCACTTGTCTCATAATTTTTATACTTTAATATCACTACACAATCGCAGAATAAGTATACGAAGTTGTGTGTCAAATACCAAGTACTTATGTGAAAATAATATTTAGTTCAGTCGTCAGCATGGTACAACTTGCCAAAGTTTTTTTTCTCGTTAATGATGCGAATATAGCTATTTTAAACTCCGGGACAAAATTACCTATCACACAAGAATACAAAGTAATATAATTGAAAGTGAGTCAAAATTAATTATTATACAAATCATCTCTCTTGCCCGATGAAAACCTAAGAATTATAAAAACCCTTAAAAAAACTTCTACTAATTACTGCATTCATGATGGAGAATTAATTTTCAATAATTTCCTGGAAAAGATTTCCTCAATATGTACAAACAGTTCATTGTGGTTGACAGGACTTTGGGCGTAAGAACGTCCCATAAATAAATGCTGTAAGGGATTGAGATTGGGGCTGTTAGGTGGCCATAAATTGTATATCAACAGCATCCAAGTGGTCGATAGTCTACTGTCTTGCTAACTTCGAGCATTATCTTGCATAAATATATTATAATTAGATGCCACTGAAGAGAAGAAGTAAATACCATTAGATTTTCGGCTAGTATTTATTTCAGAGAATAATCCCCAAAATATTGTAAAACAAGAGCCACAAGGATATTTCAAGCTGATCGTTAAAGCCTTCTTCTCATCATTCACAGTTTAATATTGATCTTTGTGCTTGCTCTCACTGCTTTCTAGTTATTAATGGTTTTTTAACCACCTCATATTATATCCAAGAAAATGAACAAAGCTAAGCTAAATTTATTTACATAAAAAAATATTTATCTAACGGCTGCCTCACGTGTTTCAAAAATCGTGTCGAATGCAAAAATATCATCCACAATCTTTTCAATATTTTGATTATCTCCTAATGCGACATCTCATTCATTATCAGAACTGACTAGTCCCATTGGTGATTGAACAATTTTTGGTTTTCTAGCAGCTCCATTTGCCAATAAGCATATGTTACATCAACAGTAGGGTAATATTCTTGGCTTACCATAAATGAGTGCATCGACGTGCAAACTTGTTTAATTTGGTATGAGAGTGTTAGTACAACAATTAGCAGTCTTATAAAATCACTAGGCGTATTTCCTGCTGGCTTGATAATCACCTTTTTAAACATAATTCATCTATTTTTTTTTTTTTTCATCTTTGGAAATATTTCGTTTTTGCATTTGAGTATTTTTAATAAGTTTAGCAAAGATTCATTTTTCATTCATTTAAGTTTTCTAAAGGCTTGTTTTTTTAATAATCACCAATTTTATTCAAATGATCTTCTGAAGCAACACAGAATTCTTGAGTCTCAAGTCTATCCAATAGAGTCTTGATTTTTAATTAATTTTACTTTTTGTAAGGCATTGAAGAATGTCTTTATTAGATTTTTGGTAAACATACATTTTGCTTTGGGGCTTGACCTAGAGAGCTCTACGAATTGCCAATTATTTTCACATCTGGGACATTTTTTGTTTTGTTTTTATGCCATCTTCCACTATTGATTCCTAGTAATAAGCTTAAATTTTGCGTATTAGATTCAATGTATTTTCAACAAGAACCAATTCTTCTGCCTCACGCACTTCACTTCGATTACCTCTGCAGCTTTCTGGTACCTATACTAGTTTGCAAGTTTTTGAAGTTTCTGTACCATGGATTAATTTGATAATTGATTGATTGCATTGCATGAACGTTCATTTTTATTTGGAACTTGGACTTTCATCTTCTCCTTCTGTCCTTCTCTTGAATCAGGAAATTAGATTGAATTATTTTTCCGTTTTCCTGAACTTGAAAATTTAATTACTATTCGTCCATATATAGCACTGGTGAATTTCTCAGGTCATAATAACCGTATTAATTAATACCTAAGACTAGGATTATCTTTGACCTAAGCAAAGTTTAAGTGTGGGAGAAAGGTATTAAAATTCAAAAACCTAATCAATCTGTCCATTAACAAAAAATATGATGAAGCTTGTTATTAGAAAGATTCGGGTTGGGCAAGCTTTCCATAAAAATCAGTTAATTTAAAAAAAAAAATAGAATTAAGATCAACATAAAGATTGAGGAAATAGCCTAAACAGGATTCGAATGTAGATTAATTATTGTATTTTAATCTACAGGATTAAAATTCAATAAAATTATCTAGGATCCTTCAAGTCAAATCCATGGATGACATGGACAATAATAAAAGATGACGAAGAATTAAACAAGATGTTAAGCAGCTTTAGAAACAGTCTTTTCCTGATTTTAATCCAAATTCCCATAAATCATTATTATTCAAATCCAGGATACCACCTACTTATAGAATTCATAATTTGCAGAATTGATTAAGTATAAAGATTAATAAGGGAAACGAAATGATTAATTACAATTTTCATTGAAACCAATGATATAAATTTGTTTGTGAATATGTACATTTCTTGTTTGGTTATTGGCTGGTTGTTCAAGGAGGTTGAAAATAAAAGGAGTGTCATACTTGTTGGATACATAATTTTAGATTAAAATCAGAGACAATTATTGTTTTTTTCGAGGTTTTTTCTTATGATTTATATGATTTTATTACATTTTTCGAAATTAAGTACCAGAAGCAAGTAGGTAATGGTCTCTTACTATGAGCCCAGATCCAGATCACTTCCTTGTTATGTACCTAGCATAATGTTTTTTGTCGATTATTCAAGGAATTTCTTCGTCTGGATTTCTTTATACCGCTGTTTTTAATACTAAAAAATAATTTCAAAATACCTTTTGGTCCTTTGCTGAGCAGTCGACTTTAGAATAATTTGACTCCAGTCCACCAACAAAATAACCAAAAACAGCACTTAGTCAGAATAATCCAAATACTTAGTTCACATTAAAAAAAGTACCTTAATCACTAAAAATTAGTCCAAACAAAAAAAAACAAAAACAATTAATATATACGTTTGTCGTGCTCTAGAGTAACTTGAACTAAAGGGCGACCGACACGAACAGTCGAGCGAACGACGTTCGACTCGCGTTTACTTCGTATGTTTCTCGAGGTTTTGGAATTCTATAAAATCGAGCGTGCGATGAGTCGCAAACCCGCACAAAATCCCCCACTATCGGGTCGCCCCGAGGAATTTCTGTAAAATTGTGAGTCTGTGATTCGCCAGGGGGCAGGGCTTGCGGCGGGGAGGGGGAGCGGCTACCTATTTTCGATGTTTTTGGCGGGTTTTGGCATAGGAAATGCCAAAGTTGTGCGAATTCTCATTATTTTCGATACAATGATACATTACGTCCGACCATTACGATATACCAACGCATTTTCAACACAATAGAATTTTAGGTTGGAAATCACATATCAAAACATAGGTAGGTACTTTAGTTTCCAAAATACAAAATACGTGAATTGTCCATAAGTAGGTAGATACGTAAGTATTAGGTACAGTTGCGATTAAAAAAAAGTAGTACTTGGTACGAGGAAAATCTCCAAAATCCAAAATCTCCTGGTCTATTACACAATAATTTAATTTAAATAATTCATAACCAAAAATTACATATTTTTGGCATTTTTCGACAAGTTTTCAACCTAGAAAGCTTCACGTCATTACTTTGGCATTTTTCCACCCGTTTTTAACCTAGAATATGTCATTGTCTGTTAATGCTTTGCCTGAACTCAACAATTTTGAAATGTTTAGGTATTTAGGTACTGTCAAAATTTTGTATGTTACACCGGGAGCTCAAATTGGAGTTAATAATTTTTGTCTACTTTTTTTTATCGCAACTGTTCATACAAAACACCTTATAGCGAAACATTTTAGATGCGTAATATATCAATACTAACCCAACCAATTATATCGCAATTATATCACAACCGCCGACCCTCAAAATACTCAGTAACCGGCAACCGCATAATAAAATAAGCCTTTCCGTATAAGCAATCCCAATCTTCCTTAAAAATTTAGGAAAATTCTAAATACTTTCTTATCCGACCCGCTCTCACAATAGACCTATCTATTTTACCAGAAAAAGAGGTAATAATACGAAAACTTCATTAAATAAGAGAAAAGACACAGAACGCTCATTGCGCAAGACGAGGCAAAACGTACCAAATTATGTTAGACTCACGTATAGCAATCTGTCCTTATTTGCATGGGATAAAAAGGGAAGGAGAAAAACTGCGTGTTGTGCAACGTATTTGTCAATGAAAATGTCAAACAACTTTTGAATGACACTTGTCAAGTTCAATATCAACTTTAGATTTTTTCTTGTCAGACCACGTGCAATGAACAAGGACAAAGAGATGCCCAGCGTGCAAAACGATCACCTCACACCTGTATTAGCTAGCCAATAAAAAGACATTGCCTCGTGTTGCGCGCGCATACCAGGTAAAAATAGATAGGTCTATTGGCAGAGGGATTCTCTGAGTCTGTCGAGTGTCATAGGAACGTAGGGACCTTCAGTAACAGTATGTTTATACTTCTTAGATCAGTCGTACAATCTCCGCAATAAACAGACATGGAAGAGAATATACTTGAATTCTCTTGAAGAAACGGCTTACAAGAATCTCTATCTCTCAATCCAAACATAAAACGCGTAACTCTGTTCGGCAACACAAACACAGAATTAAATAAATAATAGTCACAGCAGCTACCCCAAAAAGGAACCCCATATCTTAGGCGAGACTCATTGAGCGCAAAATAAACCTATACTAGCAGATAAGTGTAGTTCCCTTAGCCAGGGCACAGTTTTGCAGTAAGTTTTTCAATGTGTGCTGCAAAATTTAGGACCTTATCAAGATGATTACCCGGAAATCCAACATTTTCCAGATTGGTAATAGTTAATGAGCCCAACTGGATGTCCTTCAAGGTCAGTGCGATCAGAAAAAAGTAGTATAAAAATCAGTAACCGCAATTTGAGCTCCCGGTGTAATTTTCCTGTGCAGTGTAACCGCATCTCATTCATAAACTGATGTTTGTTGTGATGACAAATGGCCAGGGGAGACGAGCTGCTCGAAGGGGGGGTCATATGGTGGGGGTGCATCAGAGGTGGAAACAAGACTCGCCTCCCATTCTGAACCCGTCAATCACTTGACCAAAATATGAAGAAATTCGCACGGGTGCAACTCGTTTATCTATCTACCTCTAACTTAGGTATATGATATACAGTCGTGAGCACGAAAAGTGGGACACCCGTTTTTTCCTTTTGTAAAACGGGCTCACCAGCTATACCTACGGCAATAAACTAAACAAACATACTGGAAAGGCGGCTGTGCCAGGAAGGACAACAAACAAGAGGGATTTGCATCTCTCTCTGCACTATAGCGGCTATTGAGAACAGCTGTTTCAAGTGTTTGGATCATTGAGGTTAGGAAGATGAAGAAGCTCTTCTTTCTTTCACGTTAGTCGCAATGAGTGCGAGCGAGACAACAATCCCTCTGCATTGCTGGGTTGCATATATCAAAATTCGGCACACTAGCATAAAGTACAGTGGCTAAATAAACCTTTACATACAGTGGCGACAATAGAGGTCCCGCCGCCATTGTGTTCCCAAACTCTTGTTACTTTTAAATATTAATTTATAGGATTTAAATGAACATCTATCATAAAAAATTGAAATCGACGTATTTGATGACTATTATTAGATCCATCAAATACGTTGTTTTCCATGTTTTATGATGGATGTTCACCCCAAATCCCATATATTCATATTTGAAATAAGCAATAGGTGGCAACAAGATGGCCGCGTTTCCAATATAAATATATGGGATTTTCGAAACAATCAAAAATAAGACAGCAATTGTCGCCACTGTAGGTAATAGAGTCACTGTAGCATAAAGCAGTGCGCCCAGAGTTCCAGAGTGTTTGTTTAGTTCATGACCTACGGCAATGACAGGGATTGTCAAATTTGAAAAAAAATCGATTCTAGAGAAAAGATTTACGCAAAATAGCGAAAAATGACAAGACCTGTCAGTCGGGTGTCCCACTTTTTGTGCTCATGACTGTACGTTCGAGGGTCGCGTTCACATGACACATGCCAATCTATTGCAACGCGTGTTCTAAATAACTATGTTGGCAACACAAGCCTTTTCTACATAAAAATTTGAATGCATTGACATTTTTACATTGTATTGCCAACATGATGTCATTTTGACTTTTATCTTTAAAAAAAAAAACAGATTACCTATTTCACGAAATCGGCGTTGCCAGTAGTCGTTATTAGTCTTGGAAGCTCAAGTTTTTTGAAGCTATAAAATATTAATCGGTAAAAATCTGGCAACTTAATTGTAGGGAATACATCGGAGGTGGATCGCTCTCCTAGATGTTAGCGACACACATTTTTTTTTACGGTAATGTCTATCTGTGTTAATATGTCATTAAAGTGTAACATACAAAATTTTGACAGTGAATTAACATTTCAAAATATGTTAAGTCCGGGCAATGACATATTACAGATAGAGATCATAGACCAGGAGATTTTGGAGATTTTTGTTGTGCTACCTATACTTTTTTTTATCGCAATGGTAATAGGCATTCAAAAAAAAAATCAAAGATTGGTTTGACTACGGAAACGTAGGTACCTACGTCGCATTATTGTTTCATTATTGGTCAGGATTGTTGACATGACATTTTGACGTTGCAGTTCATTGACAATGGCTGGCTTCGGTTCACAGACGTCACGTGATCACTTATATTTTTTCTCGTGTCAAATCACGTGACATCCGTGAAATTTTGCTCATTTTTCTCGCAGAAGCAATTACCGAACCCAGTCAAAATTAGAGAAAAATATTGCTAACACATACGTTTAAAAAACCATAGCAATCTTTGATTGTTTTTTTTTTTTTTTTGAAGACCCGTTACATTTAAATGTCAATAGGTTAGTTTTTTCATTAAAGGTCAATTTTATTTACTATCAACCCAGTCCTTAATCTTTATTAAATCCGTATCAATCAGCTGATTCAGAGATTCCAAGTCAGTTCCGTGCCAAAGAAATGGTGGTGTGGTCCGCAAAGAGTGTAACTTTGCCATTGATATCCAGGGTAGGTAAGAATAATAAAGTTGTTCCAAGAACTGACCCCTGGGGCACTCCACGTAACTCACCATAGAGATCAGACCTTTGCCCCACCATCTGAGTCCTCTCTGAAGATATGACTCAAACGTCTCAAACCACCTCAGACGCCCACCCTAAAACTCAAGTTTTTGTAGCACCATAAACGGATATACAAGTGCTCCAAGCTTCGAAACAGTTTGGAGTGCCTAGAACAACTATTGGTAGGTGTTAACAAAAACCAAAATATCACAAGCGGAGTACAGTGTCACAACCCAGTTTTCCATGCGGACAAGAGGGAGAATTGCTGCAACACATTTTGTCTATGGAAAATGAACTATCTACGTAGTTGGTTTTACTCTGATGGATGAACTGAGTAGGTTGGCTTAGCGGAAATGGTCCGAACGTTAAACTTCGCAGACTGAGTCAACATCAAAAGTCAGATCTGCTTGATCAAGCTGCTTAACTTGGGGAAGTAGGCATATTGTCCGTCGTTTTTAATCTGACACTTTCCGTATGAGGAGCGAGGGGGTGAAGATATGGCAAAAACAGGTGTGACGTCAAATGACCATTGGCGTTCTAACGTAGAGAGTTAGCAGCTCACATTCTTTTGAACTATCAGATTAATTCCATGGACTGTACCTACCTTATTATCATTTGTATAAAAATGGATGCAAAATGTATTTTTTTTTCTTCAAGTTAGTGTTAGTGTTAGTGTGCTATTTCTTCTCGATCACATCAAAAATTTGAAAGTTTCCAAGTTACCTACCCATAAGTAGCAGCTGGTTCAATGAATGGAAATGGAAAAATTGTTTGTTCTCAGAGTTACGATGGCCTTGATAGTAGAGTGACACGAATGGGTTTTCCATTTTATAGTGGTGCTACATAGACATGGTGTTGGCAGATGTTCTACAAAAACCGGTCAAAAACTTTGTGCCAATTGCTGAGAGTTATTCTTCCGCAGCTTTTCAGTAGGCTAGATAACAACAGTGTGTACCGCATACCTACATCATCAGATAAACCTGACGAAAAACTCTATGAGCAACTTGAACAGGCTCCATATGG